TTTCCAATTTTCTTCTGGAAGGTAAGGAGCAGCTGCATGAAGGCTAGTGCCCAGTTCCATTCTTGACTTTTCTGCAAGTCACCATCTGGGGAGCTGAAGTCATAAAATGGTCATCAGAAATCAAATTTGAGGCTGCCAAAAAAAGAGACACCTTGGGTGATATTTCATGATAAATTAAACTGCCAACTGCAGTGCTTGTCACTGGAGTGAACAGTTAGGCTGGAGTTTGTATAAGAGATTTGTGTGTCATTTCTCAAGGTCAAATCAACTGAGGAGAATGAGGCAAATTTTTACAGTTGAAAATGACAGTGTGTGAGTATTTTGTAAGAAAATTTTCATACCAGTTTGCAGAGGTTGCCTTTCCTCATACTGTAACCCATCTCAGAAAAAAGGTAATTATGTTTCTCATTTGTGATTTTCACCATTACAGGCAGTCCCAGAGAATACCTAGATGCTTATATGTTTCCAGTTCTTTTACCAGCAATCGAGCAAATGCTGGTAGCTGCCAAAGAGAACAAAGTGTTTGAGGTTTGTTTTTCATTTAAATTACTTTTAGGGTTATGTATGTTGATGTGTGTGTCCTCTGTATATTTTACTCTAGAAGGACAGAGCATGAGGAATGTTTAGGAAATGTTAAGCTGTCTCTCTGGTCTGATTTATTGTTCTATACTTTTTCCATAGAGGAGAAGAACAAAGTTTAATGCATGTGATTTTTTGACGGAGTTCTTGTTCAGGTTAGCAGATTGCATAATTATATATATTAATTATGGTTCTGATTTTGGAATAGAAGAAATTTAGACTCAGGGATGAGGACTGAAGATTCATGATAGGTTAACTGGCTTTGCAGAGAAATAAATTACAGAGAAACCATTTTCTCTCAAGCATCATGTCAACAGAAAAGCAAATATGAAGTTTTACTATGCAGAGAATTGACAGAGCAATTGTTTTTGACATCTTAAAAAACCCAGGTGGTGTAAGTTGGACAACAAGAAGCAATTGAAGTGAAAAGGAAGGTTAAAGTTGCACAAAATGTTGTGGTTAAATCCCTTTTCTTTTGTCCTTTCTAGACTGAATTTTCCTTAATTATTCCATTAGGATGCAGCTGTTAGATCTCTAATCAACATAAGTGCTATTCACTCAGCCAAGTCAACTAATCCGAAAATAAGTTGCAGCTGAGATAGGAAGTGATTCAGCCATATAAGTGGTACCTTTTAACCCATACATGTCTTATACAAGCTGTAGTGTATGTGAGACATGATAAGTACAACCTATAGCTAGGAAAGTTTCAGGTCATTCTATCTTCTGAGCTGCAACACAGATCACTGAAGAGAAGGATAATGTACCTTCTCTCTTGTGCACAGGAACAATCCCAGATACAAGGATAGATCTAATGTAGTACTGGAAGACATTCCTTTTGTGCAAACAATACTGGCAGAGAAGTAAGTTATCTTAGTATCTCAAATGACTTAATGTAATCAATGATTAACTCAGAGCTAATTGCAATAGTTGCAGTGCCTAGAAGTGACTAGATACTAGGAAACAGGGGGTAGATTTCACCTGCATCAGACTGGTGTCCAGTCCAAGAGAAGTAGAAATGGCTCTCGCTGTTTCATGTCGTGGAAACCAGGATAAGCTCCTGCAGTAATAAGCTATGATGATTGTAAAACTTAATCTAATTTTAGCCTGTGACTATGGACAGCCCTTGTCTTTTTTAAGAATTAAACTATTTTTTTCTCTCTTTGTTTTACTCTTGTAGTCCTCGCCCTCCTTTACCATTGTCTTTGCTTCTCAGCGATGAGGAGGCCGCGATCATCATTCAGTCATTCTTCAGAGGATATCTGGTAAAACTTTGCAATTTCTATAATTTTCCTTTACCTAGAAATATCAGAAATGCAATAAATCATCTCGTTTTGAATGCCAAAAACTGAAATGTCTCGATAGGGGCTGACCTTTTTTCAACCTAAGAATATGATAAGAACTCGTACTACGATTTGGAAAACAAACATGTACTGATGCTTTTCTTTTATCCTTAACCGTTTGACCCTTCAGAGTGACCAGCATCTAATTTCTCCTCACAATATCACCCCTGAATCACTTATTAAGGTCACAAGAGTAAGGCAAATGATCACCAACTAAAGAAGGTTTGGATTGTTCAACAAATTCTCCTCGTTGGCATCTTAGGAATGTTTAAACAACAGCATGGAGAATAGGCACGTTGATCTTAGAGTGTAAAGGGTTAATTAGCCTAGGAAACTATTTTTCTTGCCAGCTGGTTTTGTTAAATTTTCTACCGATGGCTTCTACACCCACTGATCTGTTAACGTTATAACGTAATGCGAAGAAGTTATAACGTGTCCTTGTAGCAAAAGTTGCAGTAAAGGTCTTAATACAGTCTCTTTTTAATCCACAGGTGCGCAAACATCCAGAGGTTCAAGAGTTAAGAGAGTACCAGAAAGAAATGAGAAATGTAAGAGATTTTGAGAGAGAGCACTCTTAAATAAAATATAGTAGTTAGTAAAACGAAGCGCGATACCAAACGATGCGATAGTAGGGGAAAAAAAACGACGGGGCTTGGGTCGGGTCGCACTAAAACATTCTTCGTTTTTTCACTCCTCCGCTACTATCGCGTAGTTTGTTATCGCGCTGGATGGGGTCGTACTACTGAATCAAATATAATGGGGTTGCATTTTCAGTGAAGTTACTAGAATGGGGTCGCACATTTTCGTGATTGTGGGATGAAGAAAAATCTGGTGAGTAGAGATTTAAAAAATGGGACGATTCACTTGTCAAAAGTTGTCAACGGATTATCAAACTAAAATACAACTAGAACTAATCGGGGTTATTACATGATCCATAATGGTTTAATATCGCGTGCTGTACTGTGTTACAGTGCACAAAGGAAATAAACGTTATTATTGAATATCCCAGTGGTCTAAACATGTGCTCATTACTGAGTTTTGAAAAGAGCAGTAAACCTCATTTTAATCGTCAATTTTTCCCCCTCCTTATTTTTGTGGTCGTAATTTTTCCTCCCCATCGAGCTCCTAGACTTTGTTAATCTCCCATTTGCTACTACGTCCACTCCCGCTCTTGAGTTATAATTCCTGTTTATCCGATTTCCGCTTGCTTGGTGCTGCCAACGCTTTCAGAAAGTTCTGCCCGTGCGTGGAAACACATCCTTCCCTTCGACCGCATTCTGAGTGCCAGATTAAGTAGGAGCGGTTATTAGTAATTAGATTTTAGTATTAGCTCTAACTTTTGAAAATTATTGTGAAGCGCTTAGAACAGCAATGTATAAGCGCCATCGAAGTGATGTTATTATTGTTATTACGTGGGCCTCCCTCTTGTTTCAATTTCTCTGTGGACTCTGAATTTGGTTTTTTTTGTTAACTTTCGCTCTAGGAAGCTGTCGACATTTTCTTAAAAGTGGAAGACTTCTGGAAGAAGCATCCAGTGGAGGATGGAGATGAAGAAGAAAAGAAAGATGATTAATTATTTCTTCGATATTTTTGTACAGAACAGCATACCTTTACAAAGAGCAGTTCTTATTAAGGGAAATATTTATTTCGCCATCGAACTTGTTCGTTGCAAGTGCCAAAACGATGAAAATATGAACTACCTGATACTATAATTTTATACGGTTACCACCCATAGTAGTAACTTGAAAGAAAAAGTCAGTTTGTTGTTGTGAATAAGTGGTCTTTAAATATAAATCGACCCTAAGAAGCTTTGATCTTGAAACGTACTCTTCTTGTTAGTGTAAAAGAGAATGTAGGACAAAGATTATGGATATTGATGTTATGGTGTAAGGAGTTAAACTAGATTCGAGGGCCGCTCTTTTAGTAAGAGTTCATAATATAGTTTGTTTCTTGCCCATTTAATTCGATAGTTTGTTGAAATTAAAGCCGGTCTAAAATATGAGCCATGTGGGTATCCTTGTCAAAAACTGATTACGTAATGCTGTCAAATGGCGAAGTCGGCAAGGGGAATTTTTCGGGCTGGCACCCAAAATTTTAGACAAAATGGTAAAAGAAACTAGAACCACGCAGATTTATACCTGCTTTGCACGGTCTACTGCAGGAAAGGCAACTAAAAGCCATGCTTTTGCTTCCAGTTCTTGATTGGCCGATTGAGTTGTGATTGACAGGATGAAGAAACTCTTGGTTCACGCTAGTCACGCGAAAGTTGCGAAACTTTGAAGGTTGCGAAACATTGTTTTGATGGCCGTCGGCCAACCTGGTTCGAAACTGTACACAACTCTATTATCATTCATGTTACTAGTGAGAATGAAAAAAAGTTTCTTGTGTCCCCGTAGTATAACCCGTGTGTCTGGTCATCTCCTGACGAGGAGAAAAATTGAAGCTCTTGCAATACTTATTTTGGAAATTGCCTGTTGTAAGATCACAATCATTCGTTCATGACGTCCATATTTACCAACGAGTGTTAATGGACTTTTCACAGATTCTATTATCTCGACTAGATTTCAAGGTCACTAATTCTTGATTGAACATAGTGAACTTGAAAAATTAGCATAGAAGCGCACAGAAACCAGGTACATGTTGTCCGGAAGCAGTTGTTGTAATCTTGTTGCTGCGATTTAGGTACAAAAAATAATATCCCATCTTATGCAAGGTGCGGTAATATTGCAGTGTCTTTTTTCCAAACCAAGCAGTTTCATCTCGTGCAACCTAGGCAGGTTGTGAAAGCTGTTTATTAAACATTTGACCGCACGCGTTACCTGAGGCATGAAATTATTTTTCCCGTGACAAAACACCTGTTTTTGTCTCTTAAAAGTGGAAGATCTCGTGATCTTTCATGGCGTGTCAAATTGACGAAGCAAAATGTTTTGTGATGTGGAGGCGTCGCCTAAAATGAGCAATTTCTACGTGTTACCTCGTGACGTGTGAAAGTCACGCTGGATCAAAGTACAAGGGGGCCCGCAGTTTTTATATCGCGATGTAAACATAAACACAAGCATGCGCAGTTTGTGATAGCACCGGCCAACACGTTGTGGTTCCTTTTAGTAATTTCTGGGAATTGGCAAGAGGAGAAGCCGTTCAAGATGGATGTGATTGTGTTTTTGGAGCCTTGAATTGTGTCTATGAGTGACTGAAGGCTTCCAGGATGTCAGCTGACGACTTTGTGCACTACGATTCCTTTAGTGAGGAGGACGAAGACGAAATAGTAGATTGGCAACTACCACTATGTTTTATGAAGAAGCGCCACAGAGAACAGATCGAAGGTTCCAGATCTTTAGCTCAAACGTGGCGTATGAAGGAGCGAGTAAGTGATCCAGTCACGGAGTACTCCTTCTCTTATTTATCGTGTTTCGTGATGCCTTTTCCTAACGCTGAGTTATCGATTTCGCTTTGTTTCAGATGAAGACCGTCAGTGTAGCACTAGTGTTATGCCTAAACATTGGGGTCGATCCACCAGATGTCGTAAAAACCTCACCTTGTGCAAGAATGGAGTGCTGGATCGGTTGGGAAAATTTTTAATTCTTTAAAACATTCCTTTCATTTTTGTTCTACTTGTTATGAGGGCGCCATTAATTTCCGGCTTGTTATTTATCAAAACCCACCTTTACCGGTCAAACTTGTTCAGTATGTGTACATAACTTTGTACATTTCCATGCTCATTCATCACAATTGGTTGCCTAGAAAATGAAATTTTGCACAAATTAATACTAAGGAAATCAGAAAAACAACTGCGTTACTTAAAAAAAAAAATTGAACTTTGCGCACATTGAGTAATTGCGCAAGATTCATCCAATTAAATAACTCGGTGATGATTGCCTTGTTGGCAACCGTCCCCATCAATTCGTCTTTGAGCATCTGTAAATATGGCGGATTCGCGAATCATACTTATTGACATTCTGAATGTATGATCTTCGTTCTTGTAGTAGAAGCAATTATCAAGAGTCAGGTAGCTCTGCAATCGCCTACACCCCAAATATTTATATACAACCCGAATTTCTCAGCACACTATTGATGTTGTTGGATTACAAAACTTACCTCCAGGTTATTTTTAAAAGAAGATTACTGTCCCCTTGTTAGTTATAAGTGACAGGAAGCTGAATGTGCACAGTATCCAATAAACTATAATTCTGATGAAATCCTATGCAAGTTTAGGATGTCATGAAACATGCCCACACATGTTTTAATTGTATCAGATGCAGTGCCTGGTAAATTTGTTTGAACGTGCAAACTGTTTATGATGGCTGTATCATCAGTCTCTTTCCTCTAAGTACTGACACAAAACTGCTTCTAAATCTTAATGAACTAATGTCCTTAACTGTAAGAACTCAGTGCTGATTTTATTGTAAAGTTCTTATAGTATTGGGCATTGTTCCTAGTGGATTTAGACACTTTTTCCTTCTGCTAGTAACAGAATAGCTTAGATTTTTGTTGTGGCATGCAAAATTAGTAGGTCAGTTACAAAAAATAATAAACATTATGTACCTAGTTTCTATCATGAAAAAGAGCATTTTGTGCCTGGAGTTGTATCTGATATAACACCAGGTTCACCAGTTTACAGAGAAATTTATGACATTAAAATAGAGAATTACCAATCTGGTAGATAGAGAATGTTTTAATGGTATGTAATTGTCATGGAGAGATATCTCTGTATTTTACAGATCCTTCATCTATGAGTCCGCAGAAGGCTTTGGAAATTGTTGGAAACAAATTGCAGGAACAATATGAACGTTGGCAGCCAAGAGTAAGATGAAGTTTTTGACACAACTATTTAACTCTGAAGAGTGACCAAGAGAGAATTTCTCTTTACATTATCTGTAGAAAATCAAGAAGACAGTAATTAGAATGATGAAAAATATCAATAAGGAGATTATTAGTGATCCAATACTAAATTCTCCAAACTATTCATCAGGAGTATTATATGGCAGACAATAAGAAGAATTATTTATGAGATCTTGAGAGTGTAAGGGCTAATATCTGATGTATGCTTAGAGCCCTTTTTGACTGGTCCATTAAAAATTTGGTTTAAAATAGACTGTTAGTGATATCAAGTCAGTTTGAAACAGAAGAGACTGACTAAGAAATAACATTTTCCTTTCAGGCTCGTTACAAGCAGAGTCTTGATCCCACTGTTGAAGAAGTAAAGAAATTGTGTTCCTCATTACGACGAAATGCAAAGGTACTCTTTTTTAAGTCGTAAGATATTGTTATTAATTACCTGGTGTTGCCTATCCTTTTGAAATTCAGAGTAATCTGATAGTTTTAATGCAGTTTTGTTTTGAACAAGTGAACATGATATTAGTTAGTAATAATTAATGATGTAGCTCACTTACTGGAAGTACCTGCTACTCTCTTTTTGTGGCCAGTTAAGTGATTCCCTTGTTAATGCCTCAGCCTAAATCTATTTTGATCTGTTGCCCTATTTTGTCCTCAGCTAATGATCAGTTAGTTTTTTTCCAATCTCTTTCTAATAAGGCAACAAGATAGGATCACCTTTTAACTCTCAAAAATTGCAATCATGTAACTTCAATCTTTTATTTATTGCTTAATGTGAAAGTCAAGAAGAAGTTGAGAGCTTTCGGCCTGTATCTGAAACATTAAAAATTTGGTCACATCTTACTTTAACTCTCTAACTCCCAGCAGCTACAAGCATGTTACTTCTCCATATAATATCTGTACATTATCCAGCAAACAGGTAATGAGAATACTCAAACTAATCAGGTAGAAGTTGTTATTGTGATCTAAAAGGGTCAGAAGAACTCTTAAGGATGGGTTTCGATAGTTTCTGAATTATAAATTGTCTGAGAATGATTCAAATTTCTTTTGAAATAACAGGAGGAGAGAGTACTTTTCCATTACAATGGACATGGTGTTCCAAGAGCAACAGCAAATGGGGAGATTTGGGTCTTTAACAAAGTAAGTTGGTCCATTTTTGAGCTTAAAAATGCTTTTAATTATTGGTGGCTGGTAAATTTCATTATCTACTCATGCCCTTATAATCCTTTTTGTGATAATCTTTTTTTTTTTTTCCCCTTCAGAGCTACACTCAATATATTCCATTGTCAGTGTATGACCTACAGACGTGGATGGGAAGTCCTTCAATCTTTGTCTATGATTGTAACAATGCTGGACTTATAGTGCAGTCATTTATTCAGTTTGCTGCCCAGCGTGAGCAGGAACAGGAGGTTATTGACAATTGTGTGTTGTGGGAAAGTGAAGGCTCTTGTGTTGTAATTCATTCATAAAATTGCTAAATTTTATTTTGGGATTTTGTGACATGTGTAGTCCTGTTAACATTGCTCCAGAGAAATCCTTGCAGTTGATTTGGTGAAATTCATGAAAAAAGCAAGAATTTTTGAATGACACTAAAGAGTTCTTGAGATTTGAATTGTGCACACTGCTATATGTACAGGAATTAAGTGGATAAAAGCCATGTTTTATCTCATGAAATCAGCCATGTAGCAAATTGAGGGTATTGACCGTTTTCTAACCTTGTGAATTTTGAGGGATTTATAACCAAATAATTTTTGACTTGTAAATTTAATTTTGTGCTTATAATAATGTTGAATTTAATGAAATGTTTTTAGCGCTGCTTGGCTCAGGGTACCCCTATCCCTGTCCCACATGTGGTTAAAAACTGCATCCAACTGGCAGCATGTGATGCAAATCAGCTACTGCCAATGAACCCAGAGCTTCCTGCTGATCTGTTCACTTCTTGTCTGAGTACGCCCATTAAAGTGGCACTGCGATGGTGAGTTGATAACTCTGAGTCTTGGGCAAACCATGCCCACCATGCTTACTTATTTTTTGGCTGTGTCATATTATGAAGCAGTTCTAATGGGGATGTTTTTTTTTTAGGTTTTGTAGTCAAAAAAGCAGCAAGCTGGTTCCTGGTGTCACCCTTGACTTGATCGAAAAGTAAGATGGTTATCCCAATTTATATTTCAGTGTTGTAAATTTACCATGATGGCTGTTTCCCTCTGTAGGGTGAGCAAGATGAGCAAATCTTGGGATGCTATCAGCAGCCTGAGTGGGTGGGATTTGTCCTAGCCCCCTCACCCTTAGAAATGCTGGCTTTGGTCCTGTGGAGAGAGAGAGAGAGAGAGAGAGAGAAAAAAGTCTTTGTGGCTAGTTTACAGAAACCAACTTTACTTCGCAGCAAAAACTTTGATTTAAACTGAATATATACTTGTGCGACTATATTGTTGCTTACTACTTTTGTACATTATGCATAGGATTCCAGGTCGCCTAAATGACAGAAGAACACCCCTAGGAGAACTGAATTGGATTTTCACCGCAGTTACTGATACCATTGCATGGAATACCTTACCAAGAGGTAAGTAACAGAGGCATCAATATTGTTGCAAAAGCCAACAGTTTTCCTTCATTTATTTACCAAGAAATTAAAATGGATCGTGGTATAAACTTGGGTGGGGTTCTGTTGACTCCTTGGGAGTTGGTATTATATAGCTTTATACCTTTCCGGATTTTGCTCATTGACCTCAGAATATCCTATTGTCTAAGATTTCTCTTGAAAAAAAAACAACTGTTAGTAATGTACTGGCACTTAAATCCTTTAGAGCTCTTTCACAAGCTATTCAGGCAGGATCTGTTGGTAGCAAGCCTGTTCAGGAACTTCCTTTTAGCAGAGAGAGTGATGAGGTCATACAACTGTACACCTGTGTCTAGTCCCAGACTTCCCCCAACGTACATGCATCGAATGTGGTAAGTAAACATATTTTATGAGATGTTTTGGTGGGTAGCATCACTGAGTTTAACATATTTCTTTTGATGATTTTGGCAATGTGAACATTATGTCTGATTTATGGTGGAAATCTGTTGGCGAATTTAATGATTGATTGTATTTATTAGGCAAGCTTGGGATTTAGCAGTTGACATTTGTTTGTCCCAATTACCAGATGTGATTGAAAACCTAGGGAATTTTAAGGTATGTGCTTTTCTTTTTACCAGATGAATGTTATGTTCTAAGGCAGAGCTCGAAGAATGTAGCACAGTGATCCCAACACAATACGGTGACCCAATGCAGTGCCCTGGCCAGGGGTTGAACCAACACCCCTTTGATCTGTAGTCAAGTGTGGTGTCTTTAAGCCCACCTGCTATCTACTAATGGACATCTTCCTTATTTCCTTTTCCAGCATAGTACATTCTTCACAGAGCAATTGACTGCATTCCAGGTGTGGCTAGCCATGGGTGCAGAAGACAGGGACCCCCCTGAACAGCTGCCAATTGTTCTACAAGTGCTACTGAGTCAAGTGCATAGATTGCGAGCTCTTGATCTACTGGGGAGATTCTTGGATTTGGGGCCTTGGGCTGTAAATCTTGTGAGTTTTAAGGGTTTTCATTGATTAAGTGGACACCTGCTGTTGAAAAGTAGATAGTATTTGTTATAAGGCTGTGCAGTCAATCTCAAGCTTCTTATTACATGGATTAGCTTCTTAGCTAAAGTACTTAAGAGTGCAGTAGTCAGCAGAGTCCAACAGAGTGATTGCCCAACTATTTCAGCACCTGCCTCCTACATATGCTTTACCCACAATTTTGTTTGACTTTTGTCAGCCTATAGGTCCCAAATATATTTCTTTTTGTTTTTCTTTTTCAGGCACTTTCAGTTGGCATCTTTCCTTATGTGCTTAAGCTTCTCCAGAGTTCAGCAAGAGAGTTGAGGCCTTTGTTAGTGTTCATCTGGGCCAAAATTTTAGCAGTTGATAGTGTATGTCCACCTTGAGATTATCATTAAATTTTTTCCTTTTCCATGTGACTTCAATGGACTTGATTCTCAATTCTGATCAGACAGGCTATACAGTTGTACAGTAGCTGCCATAGGGCCACAAGAATCTGTTTCTACATGTAAATATAATGTGGGTTGGCTGAACAAAAATTTAAAATAGATTTTTAGATTAGATGTATGGGTGTATGGACATGATTGCACTGTTTTATTTTTGACATTTTGTGATAACACCTATCTTCTTACAAAACATGACACTAATGACATTTCTGATCCTAGCGGTATGCAGGATGCATGTCATGTATATAATCTTCCTAATGGGCCTTGCCTACCATAGTCTCTGTGGTAAAGCAGTGGAGTGCAAAATCTGAAGGTCTGAGGAGTTTTTTTTGTCCTGTGCTTGTGACAAGACAAAAAACATATTTCTCTTCTTCTTTACCAAGCTCAAAACTTGCCATCTTTCTTATTTTATGTACAAGAGTATAAATACTTCTGAAAGCAAACAATTCTTTGAGACTTCATCACTCATAAACAATAGGCATTAAGCATAGTCCTGAAGATGCCCTGAAAAACTAGTAAATTTGTCAAATTTGCTAGTGTTACTTTTTGTCAACACTTTAGGAAATGACTGGACTTAATAGAGACATGGAGAGCACTTTGCTCTGATAAAGGAGTTTACATACCAAATGTCACAATTAAGAAATTCCCTATGGCAGTTCATCTACCTTTACCGACCTCTGTGTCATATACTTTCATGACTCGTGAGAACTTTGTTTGATGCAGAGAATTGCAAAATCTTTTTATATCATACAAATTGAAAGTGCAATAATGCACCATGTAAAAGAAGATTGTAAATGAATAACCTGCTTTGCATAATTTTTGGAACTTATTTTACAGTCTTGTCAAGCTGATCTAGTCAAAGACAATGGACACAAATACTTTTTATCTGTGCTAGCTGATGGGTACATGCGGGTAAGCCAAATTCTTTTGTTAGATCAGGTTATTTAAAAGTCTCTTAGTTAGTGTACATTGTAAAAATTGTGGTTTTTTTTTATTTCCTGTTTCAGGCAGAGGATCGAACAATGGCAGCATTTGTTCTGTCAGTGATTGTGAATGAATATCCAGTTGGTCAGGTGTGTAAAGGAAAATAAATATTTGTTCAATATATTAAAGTTCACATGGCAACCAGGTGGACAATCAGACA